TTTTTTTTTTTTGTTTGTTTTTTCCATTACTGTCTATCACACCTTCATTAATTTAAATGTTTTTATCATTAGCTCTACATCTACTGTACATCTATATCCACCACTTGAAAAATCCTAGCCAGGATTCACAAGGAGACAATTATTCTCTTAAGCATGGTAACTTTTTTTTTTCTTTTTCCTTTTTTTTTAATTTATTACTTCTGTTTGTATATTCGAGCTTTTTAACTTCAATAAGCTTAATTATATGCTGAAATGTATTGAATTTCTTTTGACCCTGCCATTAAATGTAAAATAAATAAATGATCTGCAGAAATTGCTGTGATGAACAAAATATTAGACATCCCCTCAACTAGATGAGGCACTTTCTTGCCCTCACTGAATAAATGTATGTTGGCGTCATGTGTGTATCATACAACGAACTTTTTTACCCATACAACAGTGAAGAAACAGACAGGTCACCACACCAAATCACTAACTAGTCTATCTAAAGATATTTAAGTGCCTGTAGTCATGAGCGATATATTTCAGCCTCAGTTATGCCACAGATTTGCGGCCTCGTAGCACGAGTTAAGACTGATGATGGAAAGCGGTGATGATAAACGCGGCCGAATGCTTTCAAAACGAGCTATATTTTAGCCTTGAAAAACGACGAACTGCAGGGAAACCTATACGATCCCGGGAACTTCATAATCAAGCGAATCAGCGGATTTGACATCGATCCCACGTCTCGTTCAATGTTACATGTACACTTTCCATTTGCCAGTTCAGATCTGAAGCTCGATCAATACGCAGATCAACTGTAAAAGCTAATGATTCGTGTATTGCATTGTATACCAACTCCGTACCTGAGTTTCTTTGCTCTTTTTCGGTGGCATTCTCGATCTTGTCCAACTTGATATTGCCTATATGTACGTGTGTGTTTACCGCCATGAACGATAGCTACTTCATGTAAACCACACTAATTCTAACACCTTGAAAATTTCAACTGTTTGGGGTGAGGCCAAGATGGGTGGGGGTGGAGTACTGTTTTTTTGTTGTTGTTGTTTGTTGTTTTTTTTTTTTGGTTTTGTTTTGTTTTTTGTTTTTTTTTGATCCAGTCAATAACGATATTTGACTCATCAAAGGTTGATCAGTTGATTGTAGACCAAAAATGATCCATAATTTTGAAACAACTGGCGAGTTCAAGGAAGCTGAAGTTTGATTTCGCCGAAACAAACCAAACTTAGTACTGAGGCAAACAAACCGTGATTGGACCAAAGAAACTGGTAGAAACCTAAAGCTTCATAAAGGCTGTGTTAAAACATAAGTAAGAAATACTGCCGAAGGGTGAAAAACTGAAGTACATTACTCGGTAGATTACTCTTACTAACTCCAAGAGCTTTGCTTCATTCTACTTCTGGGCGAACTTGCAAATCAAGGGTAACAAAAAAAAAAATTATAAGCTGTTTGTGTCAACCAAGACTCCCCAAGGATTCTCCAAATAACTCCAAGGTCTTGTAAAGATTGCGTGTAGGTACGTCTGATAAACTGTTATTCGAAAGCTGGCAAATCGATCCGGAGGAAACAAAATTTGTTGGAAGTTCCTGTCACTACGCTTTTTTTGTTGGGGGGGGGGGCGAAATAGGTCAGTTGACTCACTAAGTAGTACAGCGGACAGACAGCAGGACTTATATTACCAATAGGCCACCCGTGGCTGTTTAAATACACAGACACCTTTCAATAAATTTCACTTCTCATTGTTACATTAGCATCAGAAATGAATACAGAGATCTGCAAAGTCTGTTGAAACTTCTGTTTAATTCTTGGAAGCTCGTCTAAACGTGACGGCCATAGTGCTAGAAAAGGGTCCTGACTACAATAAGGCGTGACTTTGCAAGGCAAGGCAGTTTAAGATGTGAATTGAATTCGAAATTACAGCTCCATTACTGAGCAACCCCACTTAGCAATGCATGTATGTCTGTTCGTTCATAAACACCTCCCTGGAGAGAATGATTTAAAAGCATGCAGACATCGCTGTTGAAGTAATTATCTGTTGTTAAAATCTCCCATACCCTTTGCACTATCACATCTTTCTCGCGGGACGGGAATTCGGCGTCGAAGAAACCAGAAATCGGAAAACGTCAGTTATTTCGTGAAAGGTGAGTTAAAATGGTAAAGCTCTCCACTAAGACATTTTTATTGAGGAAGTTTCGAGACTTTACTAGTCGATGTCTGGGCTCCTTATTATGTCGGTTTTGTTGCGCACTTGTTAAAATGGCTATAAAATAAAATGCCCGCTACGTTTCCAGACGTTACAGTTACAAAGATTCTTGCCAACAGCTAATAAGATGAGAAGGTCTTATCGACCCTTTTTTTAGTAAGATTTAAAAACTGTCTGGTCATTTGTCGTCAGAATTTTTAAAGAAGCAGTGACAATTTCCCTTCGGTCATCACTCTAGCATAAACAGCCATAACGATCGCGCCGTTAGTGATTTAACTTGTGAGCATTATTCATTTCCTATTAGTTCGAGCTATATTGATAGTCTACAATCTGTTCAGGAACTGCGTAGGCAGAAAAAAAAATTATTACTGATAGAGCAATAATGTCCATGGCTAAATTCTCTTCCCCGGTATTAATTTAAAGTGCTTGTGATGACTAGAAACAATAAAAACAAAAATGACTGAGGCCGGTGCCTCGGTTTGCTTTTTACTAGATACGGCCCAAGGGGCCCGTTTCTCGAAGGTCCCGAAAAGTTTTCGCACCCGGAAAGCCATAGCAAAATCTCAAACCTTATGATTACTGAGCTGTTTTATTCACGTATTCTTAATATGAACAGAGGTTCTCTTCATACAAGAAATTTCAAGCGTATACACCTCTCTGTTTTTACATACAAATTAACTAAAAATGGCTTTGCGGGCCCGAAAAGTTTCCGGGTCTTTCGAGAAACGAGTCTCAGGTTCTGAAAGGTTTAACTGTCAATTAATTCCTCTTGCACGTTGATCTCACCATATGCACGAGGGTGGATGGGTAACTTGCCGAAGCGTTTCTCAAAAGACCGGTACAAAACGAGGGAACCGAAGAAAAGACCAACTCGAAGTAGAAGGGAATTCGAAGCTGACACCAAACATTAGACCCTATTCGCACATTTTTCATCACAGTATCAAACACTGAGTATTGTCATGATCAATGCAACTAAAAGTTCTTCTTCTTTCATTTTTTGGACTTAACAGTAGACTATATGCAGACCAAAAACGCAGAAACTGTCTTTTTAGAGTCCACTATATATATAGGCTTTCGAAATTTACGTATGAGCAACTAAGTTTCGTAGCTAATGACAGGTGAACCGAGACACTTGCCTCGGTTATAATGTGTATCAATATTTTAGCTTCCTGTTAAAGGCTCACATTAAATAATGAAATAAAGATTAAAGAAATACGTTTCTTTTCTTATGTTTCCTCGGTAGGAATTTTCGTCCCAACTACGGCCCTGTAACTTGTTTGCTATTTAAAAGATTGTTGACATAAAAAAAAAAACCGACCGTGGAAGGAGAAAAAGAGGAATGTCACCTTAATGACGCAAGTTTCATGTCATAGATTCACAGTTTAGTCTTCAATTAAGGTGGCTCAAAACAGTCTCCAGCAATTAGGCTTGGTGGGTCATAATAACCACTGTTTATCACTTGATGCTGCAATCATGCAGTGTATCAAAATACTTTACATCTGTAAATCTGTATATAGGGTTCAGAGCCAACTTAAAGTTTTGAAAATTTAAGGTGGCCCTGAACCCTTTGTGTTTTACATATACCAGAAATGCCTTTGGTGAAGGTTACGAATGTCGCCATCTTGAGCAAGAAGGCGATGAATAACGGCGCTTTACAAAAGAAAAAACCTTTTTCTCCCTTTAGATTTTGCAAAATAATTTTATGTTGCAAGTCAAAGGAAACACAAATGTACGAATTAATTACGCTTAGTCCGTTTCAATAAAATGAAGCTGATGTTTGAAAACATTTTTTCTGATGATGAACAGTTGCATAACAACGCTACCGCCACGGCCTCGCAGCAGCAAAAAGTGATATTGGAACTGCGCATTGATATCTGACAGTTATCTGAGGACAGTTATCTGAGGATAGCTCAGATCAACCTCGCTCGTTTACGTGTAGCTCGGAACAAAATATAACTTTGTTTTCTACTTCTACCGGCGTGAAACTTTCATTTTCATATTTAAAACAGCACGAAAAGACTTTATAGTACAGCGTGCTATGAAGCGCTGCAGGTGATAGATTTGTTTTTAATTTTGCTTATATTTTGCGGACATGTAGGGAATTTAAATTAAAATAGAAGTAAATACTATCCTGAAGTGTCGTTCATGTGTTTCGCTACGGAGGACTTAACTAAAATTATCCCCGCAAGCCAGTTTTAAACTTCTTGAAGGTCTGTGAGTGGTTTTAGGAAATCAACCAGTGAATATTTCGGGAAGGAAATCAACGTTGAAGTCAGAAAAGTGATCAAAATGGTCAAGTCAAATCACATGTCGCCGTAGCCACTTTCGTTCCACGGTTCCACCGACTAAGAGCTAGGGACGAGAATGGCCATTTCCACGATTCTGCCTGATCGAACCGGTTTAATTTAAGCTACTTTCAGCTTTTTCTGCTGACCCGAAGTAACTTGAGGAATGTCGCGGGAAAAAAATCGATTTCGCTCATCAAATATTCAGTTAAGTAACCCAAATCTGTCAAACACGGGTAACGAAGTAAAACCTGCACTGACACAAGACGATTCTGAATTTTGTTTCCGGCTAACCCCACAAAATTTGTCTCCTTTCTATTTACATTCTGTTACTTGTTCTCAACAGAGGATATAATGACTCCGGCAACCTTTTGGCTATTAATGCTGCTGGCGACAGTGCTTACCGTGGCCGAAACTGCAGAGCGGAAAAAGGCTCGGGTTTTACCAAAAGGTAAGAAAACTGACTCTAAATTAAGTAACTTCGACGGAAAGGGAGCATGCAGCAAAATTGCATTCCATTTTGCATTGGTAATTTGAATTGAGTGGAGTCTCTTTGGGAATTCGTTCGTAGTTGTATTTAAACGTTTCCACGTTCGAGGCAAAATGAGCTATTCCGATGCCAATATGCTTCCTGAGCCGTTTTATAGCTAGCAAAGGCTTTCGTTAGGCTAGCATCCCATCTATAAGGGAGTAGAAATACTCCTAGACGCTTCATACCACCGGATAGCGAAAACCGGAGAAATTCAGTATCGAGCTGGGCTTGAAAGGATGCTTAAACTTTAACGAAAACAACGAAACATGCAGCTGAAGCGACACAAACGTTTTTCATATTCTTAAGTTTAATAACGTATTGATGCGTTTTCCCGTCGTTCAAACCCATATATTTGTACTGTAACGTAACACACGCACACGGTACAGACCTTTGTATTTCGGGCAAGGGTCACTGAGTATAAACATGAAAAAAGTATCCCATAATTCTTTTTAATTAGATTGCTCCGAAGTTAAAAAACTTCAAAATAGAGTGTACCGGATATATCCAGATGGTACAAGAGCCAAACGGATTGCAGTTTACTGCGACATGGAAACAGACGGTGGTGGTTGGACCGTGTTTCAAAGAAGGGAAAATGGTGACCTTGATTTCCATCGCATGTGGGAGGAATACAAACGCGGCTTTGGCAAGGTGGGAAAGACGTCAGACTTCTGGCTTGGAAATGATAACATTCATCTGTTGACAGTTAATCGATCGATCAGCCTAAGGGTGGAGTTGGAGAGTTGGAGGAACCCGCATACTAAGTTTTATGCCACATATCAGCATTTCAGTGTTGGTGACGAGAAATCAAATTACAAATTGGAGGTGAGTGGGTATGGTGGAACGGCAGGGAATGCTCTCAGTTTCCACAACTCTATGCCCTTCTCTACCGAGGACAAGGATAATGATCCGTCCAACCATAACTGCGCGAAGATCTATAGAGGTGGATGGTGGTTCAACACTTGCCTTGTCTCTAATCTGAATGGAAAATACTTGGAGAAAGAAACAACTCACGGTCCAGGGATCGTTTGGTTTAAGGGGAAGCTTAAGTTTAAGTCCTTGAAGCTCAGCGAAATGAAGTTACGCCCTGTTAACTAGGGCCAAAGACAAGGGTAATACTGACTTAAGTAAAGAAAATAACTGGTCTCTAGGGCTTACAACAGGCAATTTAGCCGTAGTGATTTTTGAACAGGGAGCTTAAGCAAACCACGACGGCAACGAGAACGACAAAAAGCAGAAAATTTCATGAGCAGAACAACGGTCATGTAAGGCTTGTAACAGTTCTTCAGATTACAAAAGGGACTTTGTCTGCAAGATGACAAACTCTGCTTGAAATGAACAAAGCTGGGTATTTTGAAGAACATGAATCACGACGCAAAGTTTTCGCTGGCATTATAACCAATGGCACTAGAGTTTTAGCTCGAACAAAGTTTTAGACCGATAGAAGTACTCAACAGGATCCAGCTAGCAACGTACAAAAAAATTCTTAATTCACTTTTTTTGCTAGGCGTCGTCCTCGGCGTCGACGTCGCCATTTCTTGAGCTCCCTATGAATATTTTAAGAGTGTTCAGTATAATCGAGGGGTGAGCATAGAAACATATTGAGTGTTGTAAACCAATTTAATGAATAAAGATTAATTGTAAAAGGCCCCAGGCATCTATCAAGATACTGCAATTAAGCTTCAGCTTTTGAAAATGAACTTAAACAAGAAAGGGGGAGGAAAAATCGAGAGAGGCTAGGTAATACTCAATGCATGACTGATTTCAGTGAAAATTCGTGGCTTAGTGATCGTGAACCAATACAAAATGGAATAACCTCTCGTCGGGTGCATTCTTATAAACTCAACCACCACAATAAAATTCCATATAAAAGAGGCAAATGTGATCGATACGATCTTTAAGGTAGATCAGGTCAATTTTGCCACACAAGAGGCAACAATGTACACAATTATATAAACAAAGAAAAGGTCAAAACTCGTTAAATGACAACTAGTTCATGTCATTACGGCTAGCTCACTTTGAAAACGTACCCCAAGAGGTCCCACTGATAAGTGGCTACAGATGGAAATACGAATGAAACACCCTAGGCGATGCTAAAACACAATTTGCAATCCCTGGTGGCTAAACTGGAACAGACCATTCTCTCATATAGAGTCGCCGGGCTCTTCGGTCAGCGGCTGGTTGGCAGGAAACACTTTGATGGTCAACCGCTGTCCTAGGAACCTGAGCACTAGATACCATCGGTAAAAATTTTATGAATATCACTTCAAGTAATGTCTATTTTATTACATCTAGTAACAATTCAGATATGAAAAAATTCAATTGCTAAATAGCAAATTTCGTCACAAACAATTCTTATCATCTGATGGACCTGTTCTGCTACTATTTCACAATCATTGTTTTAGTATTTCATCTCAGTTTTCTAATGAGAATTACCATGCATTTCGACATAAACTTCTGGCCATCTATTAAAACTATTTAATCGCTTTTTCCATATTACATAACCTTTAAATTTCGCTTTGTGCATGTTGCAGGAACTAATTTCACTGCTCTACGTTTGGAAAATGCAAATA